AGACCAAAAAGTCTATCCGAAATCCAAACCCTTATATGGATTTACTAAATGAATTCACTATTTGAATTCACATTTATACAAATGACATTATAATGTCACATTCCATATCCGTTTTTCGTGATTATCATATAGACATCCAACAAAGCTGTCTATCCAACCGAAGAAACATAGATTTCCTCCATGCATATTTGTATAATCATTCCAAACAAGACACAAGCGATTGTATTGACAAATAAATTCTATACGTCAAAATCATGAAACTACATGCCCATTCATAAATTTTAACTTGGAATTACGACTTGCAAAATATAAAATAGTTCACAATGTCCATTTATAATTAATCAATTCATAATTTGAAATTATTAATATCAAAGATGCAATGGACACAAGCACATGCATAAGTCCACCATTTTCATTGCATTTAAAATGAAAAGTTACATTATTCCAATCATTTCCTCCCATGGCAGTTACAAAATATACAATGAGTTGTCAAAACGTATTCCATAATTTCAATAGAGAGGAAATTACTAATTATGTGAATCACAATCAAAATCATAAATTGCATTAAACATGTATTTAATGAATCTTTATTTCACAAGCAAGAGTCCCTACCAATTCCAAATTAATTCATAAAAATTCATTTTCCGATTTTCAATTTAAGAATATTAATAGATATTGGCAAATGAAACTGCTAAAAAGGAAAAAATTGACCGGTAAATGATTTTTATCCATTACCCACCATGGTAAAATTATCTTCCAATTGTTAAATGATTTATACAAATCTTATATACAGTTTTTTTCCATGCAATTTCTCCATCGGTGGGCGGCCGATTAGACAAATATTCAAATGAAATTCAACATATCTATAGGCAACAATTTAAAAATTAAGAGATGTGAACCAATGGTCACAAAATCTTGCATGTTCCCATCATTCATGAAAAAGGAATCTTCTATTGTTCATACTTATAAAAGTATACACAATCATATGACTATGGTCATATTATTAAATCCAAATTACTCCACTAGAATATCATGAATGCAGAGACTGATTCATCTATTTTCCATGCAGAACCATTTATAAACCATTTGCAGATAATACACGTGATGGTATATTTGTCGATTCTAAATAAAATTTTGGAATATAAATGCACAATAAAATGTACTAAAATTCATCTTAAGATTGTTGAAAAATTAAACTGATATTATGCATATTATATTCACAAAACATGTCATTTATTCACGAAATTGAAACGAAATTTCGTCTTACCAAAATGAATTTGGGAAGATGAAATGACATATTCAATCATTTCCTTTATTTATTTCAAACCTATATGAAATCAAAAGAATGTAATTAATTTTCTGAAATCAAATACAAAGAAAGAAATTAGAAAGAATTAAGGTGAGATGCAAGTGATGCGATCGGTCGAGGCAAGTGTTAAACACTTTGTCCTTAAGATGAATTTGCTCCGCATTGGTGTTAACGATTTTTTGGCAATCATCTCTCAAGATACAACGACCCCGTCAAACCATAGGAGCACTTCAAATAACTTCGACCAACGAACTCGAACGGAGTTCCTTCTCTACCATAACCATGATTTTGATGCAAGTGTTTTATGCAAACTAAAGTGTAAGCATGTAATGGAATGATGTTGAACCATCTATTAACTTTCATGAATTTCTTGAATGATAAAATGCAAACACATGAGGTCTATATATAGTAGTTGGAAAGGTATGTCAAAAGACACAACCATACCAAGAGTCACATATCTTCGAATTCATAATTATTGGAAAATGATTATGCCAAAGGTCATGACCGTTCATATGAAATTATATCTTTTTATCCAACTCTTTTCTAGAATATTCCACATATTTTATAAAATTTCCAACAATTTCAAATATTAAGGGACTTACATTTGGTTTAATTTCTATTTCACCAAATTAAGTAATTCCACTTAGATAATCATGTAAAATTGGTCACAATCAATTTTCGATACAAAATTCCAACATGGTTTAGTATAGATAGTATAAATTTGATTCAGAAACTGATTTTTTGTTCATACGAGTATTCATAATATAGACAACACATTTTATAATGTCCACAACACGTGGTGAAACCATGCAGATGAACACTCTTCTGACATTCCCATTCCCCTCGTGTATGATGCAGATTCAGTCTCTTGTTTCTCATTGGGGTATAGACAAAAACTCGCTAGGCTTGTACATCTATAATACTGGAGGGAAACCTCACGATCCGTATGAGATGCTAAGGATTCCTGTAGACAACCTATTTTTTGCTGGGGAAGCTACAAGTATGGAATACCCTGGGTCTGTCCATGGTGCATACTCGACTGGATTAATGGCCGCTGAAGACTGCAGAATGCGTGTTTTGGAGTGGTATGGAGAGTTAGATTTGTTCAGTCAGTCACGGGTGAAGAGAATCCTTTCTCTGTTCCTCCATTGATATCCCCGAATGTAAAACGGGTATTGGCTAACACAACATGCTGACTGTTTTGTGAGAAATCGAGGAAGTCAAAAGATTTTGAGATGAATGATCAAAGCATCAGATGCTGTGTATAGTCTTCTCCCCTTTTCATGTTATGGAGAACTGATGCTGTGTATAAATGTATTGTGTTACTATGGGAACTATGATATTTTATTTGCTAAAGAAACCTTTATGTGTGAAACTATTTTGTTGTAGCAGGCATGTTTTTAACTATTATTGCAAATAAATGACTCGATTATGGGGTCGTGGACTTGAATTTTATGAGTTAGCTATGTTCAAGATTCAAATTTAGATTACAATTTTTTTTAAAGCTATTTGAAGTGAATTTCTTTATGTTTTTGCAATTAACGTACTTAGCTAGGTTCGGTCCTTCACACTTTTTATGTGTTTCTTTCAAATCACTACATGTCGATCATAAGTTCGTCCTTTAATTACTTTTTATCGATGTCGTCTCCTTTAATTTTAGTATGTATTGCTCTGCGAGTGGATAAATTTTTCAAAAGTTTGATCATCATGGCTGATTAAATTATCAAGATGGCAACATTTGATCAACTCTAGGAAAACTAAATAGAAAAGATTAGTCGTGTTGTACTCAATTAGTCTCGTGATCACTTGTCACATGTATCTTTTTTCCTTTCCTTCTTTCTTATTGCTATCTATTCTTCTTGTTCATATTTTATGCAGACATGGGTCCAAATTTTGTGGTGATATATGAATTTTAACCAATTGCTCACTTGGCTCTTGTTTGGTACCTATTATACATTTTTCGACTTTTATTTTCAACATGTTTTTCAATAAATTAACATTACAAGTTAATTCAAAACTTTTCTTATTTTTAACCACACAATCTCCAACAAAATACTATTCTAAATTACATTTTGGGTAGAAAAATGGGACTTAACCTGGTACTGAGTATAGTTTACTCACCGTTATACTTTCAATTAAGTAATTATACTTCGATTTTTCAATTGAGTAATTATAATTTAATTTGATCTCAATCACGTAACTACATTTGATATTATTCCAATTAAGTTAACTTTCAGATTTATATCGGGTGAAAAATTTCGAATGGACGTTTAGATGTTACATCCATAGTCCGTCAAAGTCACTAATGAAAATGTATTTTTGTATTCCATCATAGAAGTCAGTGCTATCGACGATCAATATTCTGTCACTCAAGTTGCAAGCCTCCAAGAATGTTCATCAATCTTGAAATTCATTTTTCTATTTTATTTTCAACCATACATTCTTAAAAAGATTGACATTTAGGATAGTGTCACCGAATTTTTATACTTCAAATCAAAATGAATGAATAAACACACGAATAGTTATAATCTTACGAGAGTGCAAATTATATGCAACACGATTTTTTTAAAACATCATTTTCCGCCCCAAATTTACGTATAAATTCTGTCACATTCCATTATCTATCCTGCTATAACGTAACTAATCTTCTACGTGGTACTATAGAAAAAGAAAATAGTAAAATGATGATTACCCAAATAAGGGTTAGTGACTAAATTGAAACGAAGTTGAAACTTAATGACCCAAATGAAATTTTGTTGAATTCTCAGTGCGAGCATAAACTTCATTCTTCCCTAGCTAGATTAGATGCAGGCACTCCGTCAACCAACCGCCTTCGTCCCTGTTTCATAAACCCTAAACCCTCCTAGGGTTTAGTCTTCACTTTCTTCTTTCTCCAAACAGAAAAGAAGCAGAAGAAATCGAAAATGAGCGGCTTATTTCTTCTGAGGAAGTCTTCCGTATCTAAAAGGCTCGCTCTCACTGTGATCAACAATCTATTATCTGAGAAATCAATTACCAGAAATTCCGTTGTTTCGCCTAAATTTCACAATTATGTCGCCACTTCGAGAGAAAAGTCACCGGTGCCTTCATTTGCACCTTTTTATTCAGCTACGAGATGTTTTCACGCCGGCCGGGCCTTGCGGGCCGAGTATGCAGTGGCTGATTTATCTGATGCGGATGACAGGAGAGCTTCGAATGGGGTTGCGGATGACAGGCTTGAGATCGCGAAGCTTGGGATTTCGCAAGAGATTGTCGCCACTTTGGCCCGTAAGGGTATCACTAAACTCTTCCCTATTCAGGTATAGTGAATAGTTGTATATTAGAAAACCTCGATTTTCATTTTGTAACAGAGAATTCTGAAATTTTACATTGTAAATACGTTCAGGGGCTGAATTTATTGGATTTTTTTTATATTTTCATGCTTCATTTTATCATTTATGAAATTTCTGATGCTCATTCTTGTCATCATCAATAGTTTAGTTATGGCATTAAGTACCAAATTTTCAAGCTGCAGAATGGAAATGAATATTGAGACTTACCATCTTGAAAGGTCTGACGTTGTTAAGAGGATTAGTCCAATCCTTTAGAAATTGGTTTCTATTTTCATCTTTATTCATTGTGGGATTTATACCTTAACAATGAAAACAAGGAATCATAATACGAGTGTAAAATCCGAGTCATGAATTTAGGAATTATTGATACTTATGAAGCTATATGAATTTCAGAATTTTTCCTTTTCTTATTTATAAATTCTTTTTGATCCCCTTTTTTGTTGAGCAAAGACTTCTGCTTTTATTTATTTTATTTTTAATCTTATTCTTTGAGCTTTGAAGGAAGGATTAACTTATGTTCTCTCTGGGTACAGAGAGCTGTTCTGGAACCAGCAATGCAGGGGCGTGACATGATAGGTCGAGCAAGGACTGGAACAGGAAAGACGTTAGCTTTTGGCATTCCCATAATGGATAAGATCATTCAGTACAATGAGAAGCATGGGTTCGTTCTCCTTGATTATAACTATTTTCTGTTCATCCTGTTAGAACATATGACGTTAAAAATTATGAAGTTCTTCTAAGAGCTTAACATTTGTGCTTTTTTTCCACCATTCAGTCGAGGAAGGAATCCTTTGGCCTTAATCTTGGCACCAACCAGAGAACTTGCGCGTCAAGTGGATAAAGAATTCTATGAATCTGCTCCTGGCTTAGATACTCTATGTGTTTATGGGGGTGTGCCTATTACACGCCAAATGAGTTCTCTTGACCGAGGCGTTGATATTATTGTTGGTACCCCTGGACGAGTTATTGATTTGATCAAGAGGGGTTCTTTGAATTTATCGGAAGTAAATTTTTCCGTTCTAGATGAAGCTGATCAAATGCTTAATGTGGGATTTGCCGATGATGTTGAGACTATCTTGGGATACATGACACAGAAGCATCAGACGATGATGTTTTCAGCTACTATGCCTAAATGGATACTAAAACTTACGCAAAAGTTCCTAAAGAATCCGGTTACTGTTGATCTTGTGAGAGTGCAGATCCCTGCTGTTTATGTTCTTAGTTCTCAGTTGATTTTTTTATTACACAAATTGTCTGCAGTTATGATTTTGTGGAGTTCTTCGTGGTCAGTAGTGTGTTTACGGCATGAACTTATTGAAGTCAAATGTGTTGTAGGTGGGAGATTCTAATCAGAAATTACCAGAAGGGATTTCCTTGTATGCAATTGCAGCAGATATGCGTGAGAAACCAGCAATGATTGGATCTCTAATAACTGTATGAATTTAAAGTTCATTTTGTTTACCATCTCCAATTGTATATTTATACTGTTTGCTGCCTCATTTCTATGATCTTTAATTTATTCCCATAGTCAGTTTCCTCTTCCGACAACCACGTTGTGCATTTGATATCAGGAGCATGGGAAAGGAGGAAAATGTATTGTTTTTACCCAAACAAAACGTGACGCTGATCTTTTGGCATATGCCATGCAAAGAAACTTTAGTTGTGAAGCCTTGCATGGTGATATCTCACAGAACCAAAGGGAAAGAACTCTGTCTGGCTTCCGAGATGGGCGATTCAATATTTTAGTTGCTACTGATGTAGCTGCTCGTGGCCTTGACGTGCCAAATGTCGATCTGGTGTGTTTATGATAATTATTTAATCATTTTTATTCTCATACATGATTTTACTTGTAAAGCATGAGTTTCCACGGTGGAAGTTTATGGAGGAAAAAGAATAGATACAGTACAGGCTGTTTTCTGTTTCTTAATATCCTATTGAAATCCTTGTTGCTTCACTTGGCTTAAGATGAGCACTTAGCTTCTTCTTGTATTATGGTTTTGACATCCAAATCTAATCACATAAGCACATTTAAGCAGACCTTTGACCCATCCTAAGTTGAGTCGGACGACTATCCTTTATTCTCAAGGTAGTTCATGATTTTGATGATGCTATTCTTACCCCTTGTGAGATGGAGCCGTGGGTTTGTGGATGATAATCAACATAGATATCATGCATATTTGATAATGATGCTTCATAGTGTTATGATTCTTAGTCATACAATGTGCCTATGATTTTTTTTCTTGCTTAGGGGTTCAATAATGATGGAAAATGAGGTCTCTTTTTATAGTTTATTCTCTTCTACATGGTGATATTCCTGTATTTGGGTTCAGATTGAATGTTTTCTTTCCAGGTGGTACATTATGAACTTCCAAACTCTTCTGAGATTTTTGTTCATCGATCTGGACGAACGGGCCGTGCTGGGAAAAAAGGTAGTGCAATTCTCATCTATTCATCCCACCAGTACAGGGATGTCAAGGCTATAGAACGTGAAGTTGGATGCCGGTTTGTTGAGGTAGATTGTTCGCTGCCCATTCTGTTTGAATATTGCTCCAATTTCCTTGTTAATCACTTGTTTGTTAATTCCTAATACACATTGAATCTAGGATAGTTTTACAGTTGTTTACAACAACAACAACAACAATCTAAGCCTTGCTCTTTCTGATATCTTATTCATACTGTTTTTAGTAACAATTCCAACTGAAAAGAGTGGAACTTTCAATTGAGCAACCAAAATGAACATGCGAAGCAGATAAATACATCATCTTTTGCATTTTGTTGTTGAGTAATATCAAACTAACTTTTTTAATAATACCTGATGTGTTAGCTCCCGAGAATTGCAGTTGAAGAGGGAGCTATGGACATGTACCGTGACATAGACCGTGGTAGCAGTGGTTTTGGTTTTAATAGAAACACGGGGGGTGGTAGGTTTGGTGATTCAGGATTTGGCCGTTCTGGTGGCTCTGGGAATTTTAGGGGTGGTCGTTTTGGTGGACCTAGTTCTGGTCGATCAGGTGGTGGATTTGGTGGAGGCCGCTCAGGCAATTTTGGCGGTTATGGATCTGGCCGTTCAGGTGGTTTTGGAGACCTAGGTGGTTCAGATCGGAATAGTGGCTTTGGAAACCTTGGTGGTCCAAGTCGCTCAAGTGGTTTTGGGGATTTTGGTTCAGGTCGTTCCAGTGGTTTTGGCGATTCAAACTCTAGACAGAATACTAGGTCAGGCCGCTTTGGTGACGAAAATAATGATGGTGACCGTAATACAGGGAGGAGATTTTTCTGAAGCTATTTGAGGTGAGTTTTCATGTTTTAAGATATTGAACTAAAGTGCAATTTATGTACGTAGCTGGGGTTGTACCTTGTACACGTTTCTTCCAAATTGCTACTTGTTAGTCTTGTAATTACTAAACATCGATTTTGTTTCCCTTAATTTTCATATGTATTGCTGTATGAGCGATGGGTTACATTCTCAAGATAGTAACATTTGATTGATTCTAGGAAACCAAAAAAAAATAATAATAATAAAAAAAAAAATAAAAATAAAGATCATTTCTTTATTCGTGATGATGTTTGTATTAAGAGGGTGTTTGGGAGATATTTTTATGTAAAAATGCATTTTTGAATAGTAAATTGATGGGAAATGTGTGGTTGAAAAATTAGGAAATTTTTTTGATAATAAAGAATGTGTGGTTGAAAAGAAGAGATAGAAAAATGCATTTTGAAAAAAATGGGTATCAAACGGGGCCTAAGTTTAATTTTGTAGCCTCATTGGAATTAATTTAAAATATATCATATGCTTAAACCCACACTGAAGCACTAGCCTATAGGTTGGTACCTTATCCTTCTTCCATTTTTGCAAGGGTTTAGGCATTTCTGTATATATATGATACTAAAATTGATTTCGGTCTTCAGCTTAATCTGTTCTGTTCAATTAGTGCCTATTGATGAATTCTGGCTTTCATTCTTTGTTCCAGCATAATTTGAATTATAGAAGCAGATGTGAAGATTACGTGGCAATTATCAGGGTGAACATTTGCGTCAGTACTGCTTCTGGTTACGATAGCAAGAAGGACGATATCATAATAAACATTTTTGTTTGATCAAAAACATGGGAAGCAACCCCATCAATTGATCAGTTGCTGCACAAAAGAAGTTCCTGTATATAATCTAATGGTATTTGCTATTTGTTCATAGTTGGTTCCAAGCATAGAGTGAATTCAAGGAACATTCTAATTCCTTGGGAACATCCATATGGGAAATGATGTACTTGTTGTCGTGGACGATATAATAGTAGATTTAGCGTTCTATTCTTACACGCTATCTTGCATTGCGATTTATATGAGCTTAGGCGTTTATTTAAGCTGTACCAATAAGTGGGCATACTGATCTTTATATTGGCAATTAATATGAGATATTCCGATATATCGACTGTTCATGTTGAATTCTTAGTGCAAGTTTGGTACACAATAATCGATGGCGGTCAAGATTTTGACTTCATTTGTTTTTAACCCTGTCCAATGAGACTGCGCTTGTTAACAGAATTTCTAATGGAAATTTGAGGTTTGCACTTAAAAGTTATGCTGCTTGTATAGATTTTTTTTTTTGTTTTTTTAACAAATTGGTCTGCAAGATTTCGCGGGTTGGGTTAAACCAATTCATTAAAAAATAATAATAATAATAATAATTAATTGTACAAGTAACATGACTCTTTTAACAGTTGTGCCGACGGATGTCAAGCATAGTGTTACAAGTCTCTTGAATCCAGATGAAAGGAACTACTTCATGGGACCCTTTTGACTCATGACTAGGATATTACACCGTAAACTCATCGACAGTTCGGCACCAATGAAAACCTCATAAACCTTATCCTTCATCGCCAATCTAATCTTCCCAACATCCACTTTGTTCATCCAAAGCCATCAATTTTCCCCCCACAAAAGGACACGTCAGCTAGGCCACTCTCCATATCTAACATTCACAAGCCACAAGAAGAAAGAGGAGCAGAGAAAACAGTAATGGCTTCAACTGCATGCTTCTTGAACCCCAATGTACTCTCTACTAGTACCAGATCATCATCTCAACGTTATGCGCCATCGTTCAAGCCTAGCCACTTAGTTTGCCGCGCCCACAAACAGGATGATGACAACAATTCTTTTCCTATCTCTCGTAGATTGGCTCTCACCATCCTAATTGGTGCTGCTGCTATAGGCTCCAAGGTTTCCCCTGCCGATGCAGCCTACGGCCAAGCTGGTAATACCTCGAATCCCTTAATGTCTATTTGTGCACAGGAGCGTTATATTCTCTCACTCGATATTTAATCTGTGTATTTGAATGATTGAATTGCAGCTAACATTTTTGGGAAGCCAAAGGAAAACACAGATTTCTTGCCCTATGATGGAGACGGATTCAAGTTATCAATTCCCTCAAAGTGGAATCCAAGCAAAGAAAGAGAGTTCCCTGGTCAGGTTCTGAGGTATGAGGACAATTTTGATGCCACCAGCAATGTATCTGTTATGGTAACCTCTACTGACAAGAAATCTATCACCGACTATGGTTCTCCTGAAGAGTTCCTCACCAAGGTAATAATTTTCAATCTAAAAATTTAAGCTGTTGGAGTTTGTTAACTTCAATACACTTCCCATGTATAGGTTATTTGAATGAGACGTCTCAATATCATATTCTATGACTTTCTAAGTAAGATAATTGTGTGTTGATGAAATTTTGACGTCAATAATTTTAGGTGGACTATCTCCTAGGAAAGCAAGCTTACTTCGGAAAAACTGATGCAGAGGTAAATCACAAATGCATCGAAAACATACCTTTTTCTATATATACATGTTTAAATATTTTGTCATCTCTTCGTTGGGCAAGATATCTTCTAGGCAGGATATCAATTCTGTCCTTTCCATATAAACCGTTCTTATGGAATCTGATTGAAATTATATTGAAATTATACTCAGGTTCTGAGGTATGAGGACAATTTTGATGCCACCAGCAATGTATCTGTTATGGTAACCTCTACTGACAAGAAATCTATCACTGACTATGGTTCTCCTGAAGAGTTCCTCACCAAGGTAATAATTTTCAATCTAAAAATTTAAGCTGTTGGAGTTTGTTAACTTCAACACACTTCCCATTTATAGGTTATTTGAATGACGCGTCTCAATATCATATTCTATGACTTTCTATGTCAGATAATTGTGAGTTGATGAAATTTTGACGTCAATAATTTCAGGTGGACTATCTCCTAGGAAAGCAAGCCTACTTCGGAAAAACTGATGCAGAGGTAAATCACAAATGCATCGAAAACATTCCTTTTTCTATATATACATGTTTAAATATTTTGTCATCTCATCGTTGGGCAAGATATCTTCTAGGCAGGATATCAGTTCTGTCCTTTCCATATAAACCGTTCTTATGGAATCTGATTGAAGTTATAATTATAGGGTGGATTTGATGCCAATGCTGTGGCAACTGCAAACATATTGGAGACAGACACCCAAGTTATTGGTGGAAAAAAGTACTATTTCTTATCTGTGCTGACGAGGACGGCTGACGGAGATGAGGGCGGCAAACACCAACTGATCTCAGCCACAGTGTCTGATGGGAAGCTATACATTTGCAAGGCTCAAGCTGGAGACAAGAGATGGTTCAAAGGTGCGAGGAAATTTGTGGAGAGCACAGCAAGTTCATTCAAAATTGCTTGATATGGGATGTGGATTATTTGTATGTAATTTCACTTATAAATATGATCTTTGATGAATTGAGTTGTTCAAAACTTGGAGAAAGCTAATATGGATAATTCAGCACTATTTTTGCACACGATGAAGTCTCTTTAATGAGTTGCCTTGATGTAAAACAAGAAGACACTATCTCTGATGAGTTATAATTCTCCCCTATTCGGATTTTATTACGACTCAAGTGAAGAAACTTGTTCAGGGGTCATCGTTAACAACTTTTTGGTGCCAAGTCTCAGCAATTAAGATGCCGGCTTATAACTTTCATCTTGCTTACACTACTTTGTGAAGGGTCAATTTCTTTTCGAATAACCTTTCTTCTTTAGGTTCATCCCAAGCAACATACGTAAAAATTAAGTACCAATCAGGGATACAAGTAAATTCGTATAGCTAACACGAAGAATGCACACTAACAAACACGATCGTGGTAGTTGCAATCAATCCTAACCTACATAGACATGACGCTTAGTTTCGTCTAGTTTATTTACACCTTTTCATCAAATTCACCAAATTATACCGGAAAATGCAATGAGTAATAAAACATAGCAATGTAAGAAGCAAAAACAAGTAAAAGGAAAATGTAGCCGAACTACTCAACATGTCAAACGCTTATATCGAGGGCATATTTGGTAGGTTGGACTGGACACGAAATGGAAAAGAGATCTCACACCTGCCTTTCTAAAAGCTTTATTATAGACAAAGCATTAAAAGGGCAACGCCAGACATGTTCAAGGCAGTCATGAACAAATAGTTATTTCGTTCCAAGTTGGTCACCCTACAAGCACATTTCCTATAATTTGGTCATTTCGTCCATAGTCCGATTAAAGGAAAAGCTGACATGACAATTTTGCATTAATCAAGCTAACGGATATGGCTGGAGCAACCACCTTTAAAAAAAGTTTTTCAATGACCAACTTGAAACAAAATGAAGTTCAATCGACCAACGTGGAATTTTATTGAAGTTCTTTCACCACCAGTGTATTTTAATCCATTGTGTAGAGTGAACAGGTGTGTTCTATTTTCTCTCTTTGGCATAGCATCAATAATTCAACAATTACTTTTCCCATATTTTATCTTTATCATCAGTCTTTTTGGTCATCGGTCAGCAGATGAAAACATGGAAACGAAGTACACAGTTTATTGTCCTGGTGAATGCATGTTCAAATTCTTGTTCATTATATGTCAACTGAATGTTGAAGTAAAAAAATTTACATAAACCAATTTGTTAAGAAATACAATGATAGACAGTGTTTCTCGTCCCCAACTTCAAGTTCCACCATTGCAGTGATAGGTGCCATTACTGTGCTTATCATCGTGATTTAAACATACCCGATTCAAGCCCCATATGCGAATTGTACGGTCATCACTTGCGGAAGCCAGCATGTGAGGATTAGCAGGATTCCAACTAACACAGTTGACAGCCCCAGAATGTCCAGACAACGTCAAAACGAGCTCTCCTGAGACTCGGTGCCATATATAAACCTACAGAAGGTGAAACCATCAGTATCTTTCCAAGAACATTTTGCATTAATTTTACCAAATGAAACCAATAAGATCCTCTTAGAATCCATAAATACAAGAGTTCTATTTAAAACATTTAGACACCTTGAACCAGGAAGACAGAAAATGGGGACAGGAATCAAGTGGAATCATGGAGGAATGGGTCCCTTCGTTGAAATCTTACGAAACAGGAATGATGGAGGAGTTAATAAGATATACCAAACCAATACAGTTTTTGCCGGACCTAAGAATTGTTGATACAATCATGTGATCAAGATGTCAACCAGCGTTCCCAAAGCAAAAAGACAAATGGTGTTTCAAGAAAGTTAAAATAACATGAAGAATCTTTTAATACCCTGTGCACATAAAAAATAATACTAAAGGTTGACGTTTTGTGGAAAGATAGGGAAGTTAATCATCAAATACATTTTCCATTATAGTAAACTATGTACAGTGTAATAACAAAATTTCATTATGATAATATACTTTGTTTTTCTTTCTTTTTCTCATACACAGATAGGCACTTACATGTAGTCTATACAATCCTAGTTGCTATATTCCTTTCAATAAAGCATTCCATAGGAGTCTATCCCTTCCATGCTGCACACCATCCCATGAGACCATTCACCTACCAGTTCTTGTAACTAAAGAATTAACATTCTAGATAGCACCCAATTAAGATGATTTTAGTGGCATTTATATGTAATCACAATTACTGCAGGTTAGAAAATCATGGTAGGAAGCCAATTTTTGTCATAGCTTAATTTACTTAAGTGAATATGAATAGGACCGGCTGAACCATAGGCAGAATTATTATTTCAAGAACTGGGACAGGATATGCCACTCCGATGTGTGGCTTTCAATAATGAATTGACAGAATACAGATTCCAATTGTAGTTCAATCTTTATATGGTACCTTGATGTAATGAAGGATACGAATATGGCAAAATAATATGACCAACTGATCCGTAGACTTTTCATCCATTAACATTCAGCAACTCATAATACTTATTATACATGAAACTCCTATTTCCTATGTAAATGCTATAAAACAATAACAGGCACTACAAATGTAAACAGGCACGGACCTTTTAAATATTTTTAAATTGAATTGCTTATACAAGTTTCCATTGTTTTTTAAAATATACCTTTGTGGACTAAATATTTCAAGGCCCTTAAGCTATCCTCAACATACTCGCCTTGTCCCCCAACAAAGAAGAACAGGGTAAAGAGAAATAACTAGAAAACATTGTTAAGCATATATTCTTATGATCAATACTTTTCAATTTTTTGGAATTTTGTGTCACTGTGGCATATGCACGAGTGATATATGTATACGAAATGCTGCTTGGATTGGCATGGCAGTCCCCCTTTGCTGGTAGAGGCTCGGCATTTGACTCTGCTTGCCTCTACATGAATGTCAAGCGTACAAGGGTGTAACCTTTAATGCATGCATTTCCTCACGTAGAGGCTAGTAGTGGCAGGGGACTGGTAGTAAAGGAGGACTGGCCGGGAAGGTAACAACTGTGGCAATACCAGTGGTTTGAAGTCAAAATGGTGACTGTATAATTTTCTCGTGGAAAAGGAGCAGAGAAAACAGTAATGGCTTCAACTGCATGCTTCTTGAACCCCAATGTACTCTCTACTAGTACCAGATCATCATCTCAACGTTATGCGCCGTCGTTCAAGCCTAGCCACTTAGTTTGCCGCGCCCACAAACAGGATGATGACAACAATTCTTTTCCTATCTCTCGTAGATTGGCTCTCACCATCCTAATTGGTGCTGCTGCTATAGGCTCCAAGGTTTCCCCTGCCGATGCAGCCTACGGCCAAGCTGGTAATACCTCGAATCCCTTAATGTCTATTTGTGCACAGGAGCGTTATATTCTCTCACTCGATATTTAATCTGTGTATTTGAATGATTGAATTGCAGCTAACATTTTTGGGAAGCCAAAGGAAAACACAGATTTCTTGCCCTATGATGGAGACGGATTCAAGTTATCAATTCCCTCAAAGTGGAATCCAAGCAAAGAAAGAGAGTTCCCTGGTCAGGTTCTGAGGTATGAGGACAATTTTGATGCCACCAGCAATGTATCTGTTATGGTAACCTCTACTGACAAGAAATCTATCACTGACTATGGTTCTCCTGAAGAGTTCCTCACCAAGGTAATAATTTTCAATCTAAAAATTTAAGCTGTTGGAGTTTGTTAACTTCAACACACTTCCCATTTATAGGTTATTTGAATGACGCGTCTCAATATCATATTCTATGACTTTCTATGTCAGATAATTGTGAGTTGATGAAATTTTGACGTCAATAATTTCAGGTGGACTATCTCCTAGGAAAGCAAGCCTACTTCGGAAAAACTGATGCAGAGGTAAATCACAAATGCATCGAAAACATTCCTTTTTCTATATATACATGTTTAAATATTTTGTCATCTCATCGTTGGGCAAGATATCTTCTAGGCAGGATATCAGTTCTGTCCTTTCCATATAAACCGTTCTTATGGAATCTGATTGAAGTTATAATTATAGGGTGGATTTGATGCCAATGCTGTGGCAACTGCAAACATATTGGAGACAGACACCCAAGTTATTGGTGGAAAAAAGTACTATTTCTTATCTGTGCTGACGAGGACGGCTGACGGAGATGAGGGCGGCAAACACCAACTGATCTCAGCCACAGTCTCTGATGGGAAGCTATACATTTGCAAGGCTCAAGCTGGAGACAAGAGATGGTTCAAAGGTGCGAGGAAATTTGTGGAGAGCACAGCAAGTTCATTCAAAATTGCTTGATATGGGATGTGGATTATTTGTATGTAATTTCACTTATAAATATGATCTTTGATGAATTGAGTTGTTCAAAACTTGGAGAAAGCTAATATGGATAATTCAGCACTATTTTTGCACACGATGAAGTCTCTTCAATGAGTTGCCTTGATGTAAAACAAGAAGACACTATCTCTGATTAGTTATAATTCCCCTCTATTCGGATTTTATTACGACTCAAGTGAAGGAACTTGTTCAAGGGTCATCGTTAACAACTTTTTGGTGCCAAGTCTTAGCAATTAAGATGCCGGCTTATAACTTTCATCTTGCTTACACTACTTTCGAATAACCTTTCTTCATTAGGTTCATCCCAAGCAACATACGTAAAAATTAAGTACCAATCAGGGATACAAGTAAATTCGTATAGCTAACACGAAGAATGCACACTAACAAACACGATCGTGGTAGTTGCAATCAATCCTAACCTACATAGACATGACGCTTAGTTTCGTCTAGTTTATTTACACCTTTTCATCAAATTCACCAAATTATACCGGAAAATGCAATGAGTAATAAAACATAGCAATGTAAGAAGCAAAAACAAGTAAAAGGAAAATGTAGCCGAACTACTCAACATGTCAAACGCTTATATCGAGGGCATATTTGGTAGGTTGGACTGGACACGAAATGGAAAAGAGATCTCACACCTGCCTTTCTAAAAGCTTTATTATAGACAAAGCATTAAAAGGGCAACGCCAGACATGTTCAAGGCAGTCATGAACAAATAGTTATTTCGTTCCAAGTTGGTCACCCTACAAGCACATTTCCTATAATTTGGTCATTTCGTCCATAGTCCGATTAAAGGAAAAGCTGACATGACAATTTTGCATTAATCAAGCTAACGGATATGGCTGGAGCAACCACCTTTAAAAAAAGTTTTTCAATGACCAACTTGAAACAAAATGAAGTTCAATCGACCAACGTGGAATTTTATTGAAGTTCTTTCACCACCAGTGTACTTTAATCCATTGTGTAGAGTGAACAGGTGTGTTCTATTTTCTCTCTTTGGCATAGCATCAATAATTCAACAATTACTTTTCCCATATTTTATCTTTATCATCAGTCTTTTTGGTCATCGGTCAGCAGATGAAAACATGGAAACGAAGTACACAGTTTATTGTCCTGGTGAATGCATGTTCAAATTCTTGTTCATTATATGTCAACTGAATGTTGAAGTAAAAAAATTTACATAAACCAATTTGTTAAGAAATACAATGATAGACAGTGTTTCTCGTCCCCAACTTCAAGTTCCACCATTGCAGTGATAGGTGCCATTACTGTGCTTATCATCGTGATTTAAACATACCCGATTCAAGCCCCATATGCGAATTGTACGGTCATCACTTGCGGAAGCCAGCATGTGAGGATTAGCAGGATTCCAACTAACACAGTTGACAGCCCCAGAATGTCCAGACAACGTCAAAACGAGCTCTCCTGAGACTCGGTGCCATATATAAACCTACAGAAGGTGAAACCATCAGTATCTTTCCAAGAACATTTTGCATTAATTTTACCAAATGAAACCAATAAGATCCTCTTAGAATCCATAAATACAAGAGTTCTATTTAAAACATTTAGACACCTTGAACCAGGAAGACAGAAAATGGGGACAGGAATCAAGTGGAATCATGGAGGAATGGGTCCCTTCGTGGAAATCTTACGAAACAGGAATGATGGAGGAGGTAATAAGATATACCAAACCAATACAGTTTTTGCCGGACCTAAGAATTGTTGATACAATCATGTGATCAAGATGTCAACCAGCGTTCCCAAAGCAAAAAGACAAATGGTGTTTCAAGAAAGTTAAAATAACATGAAGAATCTTTTAATACCCTGTGCACATAAAAAATAATACTAAAGGTTGACGTTTTGTGGAAAGATAGGGAAGTTAATCATCAAATACATTTTCCATTATAGTAAACTATGTACAGTGTAATAACAAAATTTCATTATGATAATATACTTTGTTTTTCTTTCTTTTTCTCATACACAGATAGGCACTTACATGTAGTCTATACAATCCTAGTTGCTATATTCCTTTCAATAAAGCATTCCATAGGAGTCTATCCTTTCCATGCTGCACACCATCCCATGAGACCATTCACCTACCAGTTCTTGTAACTAAAGAATTAACATTCTAGATAGCACCCAATTAAGATGATTTTAGTGGCATTTATATGTAATCACAATTACTGCAGGTTAGAAAATCATGGTAGGAAGCCAATTTTTGTCATAGCTTAATTTACTTAAGTGAATATGAATAGGACCAGCTGAACCATAGGCAGAATTATTATTTCAAGAACTGGGACAGTATATGCCACTCCGATGTGTGGCTTTCAATAATGAATTGACAGAATACAGATTCCAATTGTAGTTCAATCTTTATATGGTACCTTGATGTAATGAAGGATACGAATATGGCAAAATAATATGACCAACTGATCCGTAGACTTTTCATCCATTAACATTCAGCAACTCATAATACTTATTATACATGAAACTCCTATTTCCTATGTAAATGCTATAAAACAATAACAGGCACTACAAATGTAAACAGGCACGGACCTTTTAAATATTTTTAAATTGAATTGCTTATACAAGTTTCCATTGTTTTTTAAAATATACCTTTGTGGACTAAATATTTCAAGGCCCTTAAGCTATCCTCAACATACTCGCCTTGTCCCCCAACAAAGAAGAACAGGGTAAAGAGAAATAACTAGAAAACATTGTTAAGCATATATTCTTATGATCAATACTTTTCAATTTTTTGGAATTTTGTGTCACTGTGGCATATGCATGAGTGATATATGTATACGAAATGCTGCTTGGATTGGCATGGCTGTCCCCCTTTGCTGGTAGAGGCTCGGCATTTGACTCTGCTTGCCTCTACATTGAATGTCAAGCGTACAAGGGTGTGTAACCTTTAATGCATGCATTTCCTCACGTAGAGGCTAGTAGTGGCAGGGGACTGGTAGTAAAGGAGGACTGGCCGGGAAGGTAACAACTGTGGCAATACCAGTGGTTTGAAGTCAAAATGGTGACTGTATAATTTTCTCGTGGAAAAGAGCATGTTTGGCTAAGTTTTAAAAGGTGAATTTAATTCTTAGAAACTTTTTTGTTTCTAAACATGTTTGGATATCGTAGTTTTTTACTTCAAATTAAGACAAAAGTATAACTCAACTTGAAAGTGACTCTCACTTTGGCACCAATCATCTTTGTTGAGATTGTTTGAGAAATAGGAATTCTGTTTGGTTGAACCACCTTATCTAAAAGTTTAAGCTTTTTCAACACAGCACAAGGGTAAGCAAAGGTTCTAAATTTAAATCTTGCACTACCCATCTACAAAGTTTTGCACAGGTCAGGCTCCAAATTTAGTATGAAAATTGAGTCCGGTCTGCTATGCGGTGCATGTTGAAGACAACCTCTAATTAGATAAACTTGTCCATTCTCTAACAACTTTAGATGAGACAGTTCAATGTTTTTGACTGGAGCTACTTATGCATATCAAATGGAAAGTTAAAAAAGATAAAAGGAGATGTATTGCATGGCTTTTGGAAATAAAATAAACTTCAAAGATCAACACGTGAAGAGAAATCACCTTTGAGTCCTCACTTCCGCTAGCAATAAACGCTTGATGTAGTCCACCAAAGCAGGACTTTAGAACAAAACGAGAACGTTTGTGACCTTTGAATTTGGCTACTAGATTTATATCATCATCTATATTCCAAAGATGAATCTCTTGGTTCGACAGGCTGACAAGCAAAAACTTGCTGTCTTCGGATAAAGTAAATGACACTATATTTTGACTCTCTTCTATTAATTTCTCCGACTGTGATTCCCATCCAAATAACAGTATAGTAGTCTCTTTACAGACAGTAATAAGCTCTTTCCCATCCCTAGTTATTCCCAAGTCAGATATCCTAATAGTTCTTTGTCCTTTCCAACATTCTACTTCTCTCCCTTCCAGATCCCACATACTGATGCTTTTGTCAGTAACACCAGAAAATATCCTTTTTCCATCTGGAGCCCATCCACAAGAGACAAAACCAAGGCCATTTTTTCCATAAATATGGAGGCATTCACCGGACGTAACATCCCATCGTCTCATTGCATCCTCCACTCCACAAGTAAGAAGTTGTTGATCATCAGGGCTCCATGAAATGCATGAGACAGGTTTCTGATGACCAGATAATCTATGCTTCAAGGAGACTCGACCATCCAATTTTACCTGATAAAAGCAAAATCATTAAAAGAAATACAGCGTACATATCATGATGTAAGTGAGGCAACAGCGTTTTGTAGTCCATTTGACATGACTCGATCCAGACCACATAACATGAGAACGACCATCTAACAGAAGTAAGGTTTTTGAGTAACACACTCAACTGTAGAACAAACGGACAGACAGAGTTCACATTTCTAGGATTTTTGACAGAATATTAGAAAGAATTTGAAGTTAGCTTGATTTTAAGTTTACCCAATCCACTGGGTTATTCGATTCTCTGATAACACAGTCTAAATTGTAAATAACCAAAAACCGAAGTAGAGATCAGCAATAATGTATTAGAAAGAATTTGAAGTTAGCTTGATTTTAAGTTTACCCAATCCACTGGGTTATTCAATTCTCTGATAACATAGTCTAAATTCTAAATTACCAAAACCGAAGTAGAGATCAGCAATAATGTAAAGGTATAAAGAGAAAGAAAGTCAATGCCATCACATGAGCCGAATTAATATTCAATCATGGTAAATAGTGATGGGAGCAAAAACAAGTAGCCTCCGCTTGTGAAGAATTTATAAATAGATAGAAATGAATGTTGGATAATTAAATAGTACTCGTATCCATTGGAAAATGTGGCTTCAATTTCAGCTTGACCATTTATAAATTTTGCCAAAGGAAAGCTTAGACATTGAATCAGAACCATCCTGATGGCCTTTGATCCTATATGGCAGTATGTTGTAAGCGAGGACCACTATCTGATAACATTTCCAACGAAGTTGAGGGTTCAACCCAGTTACAGACTAACTAACTCAAAATAAATACTTTTAAAAAAGAAATTGAAATGTTCTGTGCATTCTTATAGTTTGATTATTACTCAATCTAATACATGTTAGAATGGTATTTCATAGTTTCGATGTTTACACTAGAAAAAAGGAACTGCACATGAATCGATAGACCACATAAGTCATATATAGGAAGGGACTTACAGAATTCGGTTTGGTCAACAATTGAGTATATTCAATAGGAAGAAGATTATGGGGTTCTACTATGGATTGAGTAGGTGTATATCAGACTTTTTTTCTTTCCGCTGGTAGTTGTTCAGTTCATGTATTTATACCCTGTAATCATACAAAACCTATGAGGTGAGAGATATGTTTCTTCTCACTTTCCTTCCTTGGCCCACATTTTCAAGTAATAAATAGGATAGGAAGCAGTGTCAAGAAAAAATTAGAAAATGTTTCCTCACCTCTATATGTTTTATTCAAGGAAGACATGCTGCTGTACATATAATACATGAAAGGTTAGATTAGAAAATAAGCCCAAGTTTTAAGGCCATGTCATTGCAATATGCACTTCAACTGTTCATATCATTTCATTCTCTTCAAAGCATCACTCGCATCAGAAATCTTACTTTCCCCTCTTATTAGGACTATATCATCATCATCAATGTTGAAAAGTAACACCTCAGAAAAAGTTATTAGGTCAATAACATGGTTGAGTATTAAAAAAGGGTGGGGAAAAAACAGAAAGACAATTGATTACCAATGAAGCCATGTCATTGCAATTTATGCACTTCAACTGTTCATTTCATTTCATTCTCTTCAGAGCATCGGCCACATCAGAAAACTTACATTCCCCTCTTATTAAGAATATATCATCATCCATCAAACTTGTAAAGTAACACTTCAGAAAAAGAGAAAAAGCTACTAGGCCAATAACATGGTCGAGTATTAAAAAAGGTTGGGTATAAACCCAAAAACAATTGATTAATAATGAGGCTGAAATGTACAAGTTACAAATAATGATGCTCCAAAGTTTCAATAACCATGCTGCTTAACATGCACTTCTCAAATTCCATCTTATTTCTCCGACTCCCCTCCCCCAACTTATATCCAAACCACGGTGTCCTTGAGTTGCAAAAACTCAAATTTCGTTAATCTTATCCTCGATACATTTACCCTTTTTGTGCATATGGCTTCAAATATCACTATGTAGCAAAGAAATTTGACGGCGTCCCCATCAATGAGTACAAGGAAAAATGTTATAAGGGTGTATGAGAGGATGACAGATAAGACACTCCTAATGTCCACCACAAGAGTGGATAATAGGAAGAAATTCCCAAATCATCATGACTACCGAAACCGTAATTAATTGCATCCAAACACATGAAATAAAACAGCGCCATTTCCTCTCTCTTCCCCACCACATGCTTTGAAACATAGATTCTCCATGTATATACAAAAGTTGGAAAATAGAAACAAAACATAAAAGTCATCTTGACTGTAAATTGTAGATTGTATACATTTAAAAATCACCAAATAATACAATTATCTAAGAAGGCAGATTTGGTAGGTAACAGGGGTTATAAATGCAAGGAAACCTAATAAATGTACATGAGCAGGACGAGACTATATTACCTCCCATATAATCACTAGACAATCACTGGATGAAGAGGCCAAGTATTTTCCATTGTGAGAAAACTGCAAGAACCAGACTTCGTCACTGTGCTCTTGTAATATCTGAAGTTGTTAGAAATGATAAAAGGAATCAGTGATGACACAGAGAAGAAAATAAATTGGCCAAAATTTTTGCACAATATACCATATAATGCTTCCAATGATCATTAAATGAAATACGTATATACCAAATATTAATAAAAATAAAGGTGCTTTAATAACCAGCAACACAAGTTCTCTTAATTATCTATTATAAAGCATAAAAACAATAAGATCATGTACATAGTATGCATCAATTTCCATCTCATGATCCGAAATGAGTTTGAAAACGTATGCATCATTTTCCTCAATTTCCTGTTACTAACTTTGAGAAATTTTAGAATCTGAATGCCAAGTGTTCACATTTTTGGATTGTGACATGCTTCCCTGGTATGTCAAGTTAAGATGACCCAATTGAAATGATTATATAACTCTAAAGCAACAAGGTAAAAGCACGTGTATCAACAAAGTCCTCTCTTCAGAAACAAAATATATTTGCATTAAATTTCCAAGAATGAGTCAATATTGAACAATAGCAATTATTAAAGAATGAAAAGACAAATTTTTAGTTGCTATACACGAGTGTGAATCACCATAATAAAA